AGAGAGAGAGAGAGAGAGAGACCAAGAGAGAGAGAGAGAGAGAGAGAGAGAGAGAGAGAGAGCACTCACTTGAAATGTCATGGGCTTTTGAAACCGCAGAGCCCATCCCCAGTGACACCCTTCCTCTGACAAGACCACACCTCCAATTCTTTCTAGTTTTACCAACTGGGGACCAAACATTTCAACATATGATTCTACTGGGGACATTCTCACTCAAACCAACGCAAATAGCAAGCTTCCAGTAAGACTGGACAAAGTCAAAAATATCCCACACAGGACAGAAAGGAGAGGTGTCTTCAAGAATAAATAATTTTAAAGTGTTTTTTTTTTTTTAAATTATGAACAATGGACTGAGAGAGTGGGTCACAGTGCTTGCCTTGTAAGTCTGGCAACCTGAGTTTTATCCCCTGAACCCATGGTAGAGAATCAACTCCCAAATCATTCTTCTGATATCCACACATGCATCATAGCATACATGTGCATGTGTACACACATATACACACACAAAAAAATTCTTAAAAATATGAACAAGCATATAACACTGCATTTCAATTCTATACAAAAAAAAATGGGACTAATTTCCACAGAGGATAGAAAATATGAAAACAGGCACAAAGGAATGGAGAACTTGCCCTGGAGAGATGGTTCAGCAGTTAAGAGCACTTGTTCTTAGACAGGACCCAAGTTTAGTTCCAGGCACCCATGTCAGGAGGCTCACACTGCCTGCGACTCCGGTTCCAGGGCCCCAGGGCCCTCTTCTGCCCTCTACAGGCCCCTGCCCTCAAAGGCACATAGACACATAATCAAAAGTTAATCTTTAAAAAGACATGGGAAAGTTGAGCTGATGATAAGACTGCCAGCAATTGACTAGTAATGAAATGTCTCCATCAAGTGTCTCGGGAACAGAGTGGGACTCGAGAAAAGAGCAGGCAGGCAGTGGGCACCTACAGAGGTTGTCTCGGAGGACTGGAAATGAGCCTCGTGGGGCGATGCAAATCCAGACCCCAAGGCACCACCTTCTATCAATCGAATTGGCTAGAATGAGGAGCCAGGGAGCTGACCAAGCCCAGGCTTGCTAAGGACTGTCCCACCCCAGATCCCTCCTGCACGGGGCGGGGCCTAGCACAGAAAACTACCATCTCCTTTTTGTTACATTGGGTTAGCACGGTCCTACTTGATGAGATTTCATACAACACGGCACTGGCGGGACCACCAGCACCCAGAGCCCCCAGTGCTCTCCTTGTTATGACCTCCTTCTCCCAAAGTTTTCTCCTAGTTTGACTTCTGATGCCATAGATTTGGTTTGCACTGCGTGCATGTGCGGACATGCGCCACACACAAGTTAACCATAGGTATTTTATTTCTCTCCACTTATTTTTGAGACAGGGTCACTCAGTGGACTTGGGGCTTGCCATTCCCATGAGAATCACTGCCGGGAAACCCCAGGGATGCTGCAGTCTCCGCCTCCCAGCACGGGGGTGCGGGGCTTCCCCCAAACCACAGGCTGTGTAAGCTGAGTCCCACACACTGTGATTCTGTGAGGGGAGCATGAGTGGGTGTGTGCTGCTGGGTGGGGTGGGATGGCAGGCGGCATTGGCCCCTACTGGCCGGGGCCCAGTTTATATGCGTGTCAGTGGGTGAGGATTTGCTATGGAGATGACATTCCAGGTAGTGGACCAGCACCTGCAGAAGTCTGTGGGTAGGCAGAGCTGGGCGGCTTTGTTGACTCAAAGAGATCCAACAGGTGTGCCATACAGGGTGGCTGTTCTTGGAAGCCCAAACCTAAGAAGAACCCACATGAATGTCACCAAGCTAGAGACAGATTGTGGTCCCTCTATGTCCCCAGGTTGATGGTGTTTTTTGTTTGTTTGTTTTTGGGGTTTTTTTTTTTTTTCTGTAAAGTGATGTTCTGGAGTGGGAGATGGGTAGCATGAACCAATCGCGGGGCTAATTTCCAAGCCTGTTTCCTTCTGTCTTAGCTGCAGGTGCCCGCTGCTTGCGAGAGTGTGGGAAGCTGATTTGGAGGCCTGTCAGCTGCTGGTGCAGAACCTGTGGCTCCAGGAAGCAGGCAGTGGTCCGCATGCAGAAGACGAGAAGCAGGTGGACAGCGCAAGAGAGGCCACCTGGACAGCCTCCCTGGCTGTCCACCCAAGACCCCACCCCGAAGAGGAGAAAACCCCCTCGCAAGAGTCCTGTGGGCAGAACACTCACTCAGCCCCTTTACCACACGGTGCTGGAGGCCAACAGAAGGAGGTTTGTCCTGTGTGGGTGTGGCTTTGTCAGGGGTCCCTTATGTGGAGCTTGGGGATAAGAACAAACAGAACTGGGGGGTCCTTACAGAACCCATGGGAAGGGTACCCAGTGTAGACTCTCATAAAGTTCCCAGAGTTTATATAACTCTTGAATGTGATAGCAAAATAGTATATAACTTTTTGAAGCTTAAAACGTAGAAGAGCAAAGAGAAAAGCTTGGAACATTAGCTTTTTTTCAGTTTAAATGGCCCCATTGTTTTAATTCATTCTAGAATAAGATAATTAATATAGAATCATATATAGTATACACTATCCATCATATATAATATAGATTGATATGTAGAATGTGTATTATACATCATATGTTTCATTGTATCTCTAGAGCCTATAGATTACAATATATCATTTAGGAATTCAAACATTCTAATGTATACATGTATTCTAATGTATACATGTTGTCATTTTCACCAAAAACAGATCATGATGAATGTTTGTGGTTCCTGTTTGCATGAAGCCAAAGCAAAACCAAGCACAGAGAGCCCTGTTGTTTGGCCTGATGTGTGTGTCCATTAGAACGTGATTTTACTTAATTTTTAAAATCAGAGGCTGACCCTGACAAGTGGGGAAGGCTCCCTCGCCCCGTTTCCCCAACTTTCCATCCCCCTTCTGCCCTGAGTCCAGAGTGGCTCCCTGGTTACCTGCCTTCCTCCCCTCTGAGGCTCCCGAGCTCGTTTGGTGACTTCGGGGTACCCTTCCCATGGGTTCTGTAAGGACGAAGCTGACTAAAGCTGATGCATGGCTCATGCTATCTCACTTTGACCTTCAACCCTCATTGCACCCCTTCCTTTGTCTTTGCCAGGACTCAACAAGATGGGAGGGTGGGTGGGAAGAGCACCCCAGCCAATCCACGGGGCCTTCTGCCCCATTAGGACCAGAGCCGTTACATTATAGACCTGTGCCCTGTGCTCAGGATAACATCCGGCCGCTGTGTCTGCGCTGTCTGAGGGCTGACCCTGGTCCTGTATTTGAACACATGTCCCCATGGAGAGATGAGTAGTGTCCCAGTCACTCTGGTTCCCTCAGCTGGGTAGGCTTGAAGTAGAACCCCTGTGCTACCCAATGTTCTCTCTGAAATAGAAGCAGCGTTTGCTAAATAACAACTTCTCAGGGAGCCAACATTGCACTGGGAAGGCGTGGGCCAGCGTAAGCCATGAGTCTATCCCAGGAGCCTGAGTCCAGCAGAGCCTCTTCAGGGTGAGAGGACAGCATTTTGTTATATTTGTTTTATTTTAAAGAGTGTGCTGCTGTTAATCTCTGACCATGTCTAATTTATAAGTCAAGCTTTGTCACAGACAGGTCTATATATGAAACATTGTTGTCCTTGGGTTTGATGCTGTCTGTGGTCTCAGGTGTGCACTGAGGGGGCCCAGGAACATTGTCCCCTTGGAGAAGCTGTGACATTGTCTTCCTGCTAAGAATCAGAACTGAATATGAGAACAGGTGGTCTTAGCTCAAGACTCAGAGTGGTCAGAGGAGGAGAGGCCTCGGCTTGGGAGTCTCTGCTCTGGTTGTTTCTGCTGCTGGGAGACTTCATCTCCTCATCCACGGACACAACACCAGCAACAGCGTGAGCGGGAAGGATGGCTCAGCGGGCAGAGAGCTTGCTGTGTAAGCAAGAGCACTTGAGTTAAATTCCCAGCACCCACATAGAAGGCTTGGTAAGGCAATGTAAACTTGTAATCCCAGCTCTTGGGAGGTGAATGCAGGAGGATCCCTGAGTTTGCCTGCCTTTCCAAATTGGTGAGCCTCAGGGCAATGAGAGACCCTGTCTCAAAAAAACAAGGAAGATCGACACCTGAAGTTGACTTCTGGCCTCCACATGCACATACACAAATATGAATGGTCTCTTTGTGCACAACAGCACCTATGCTCACCCTTCTCTACACACATGAACTTACATACAAACTCATACACACATACCTGCACACAGATACTCAGACACAAAAATAACAATGGCTATAAAAGTGAAGAAAGAATAATCAGAACTAAGTCTTTGTGGCATCAGTTACCTTTCTTGTTACCATGACAGAAGCAAGAGAGGAGAGAATGTCTTCGGCTCACTGTCTCAGAGGCCCTGGCCTGTCCTGGCGAGGGAAGCATGAGCAGAGCACGCTACCTCACATGAGGCCGTCTCTTTGGCCTCGTTTTAGCTGTAGTGTCTGTGCACATGGTGAAACCCAGCAGATAAGCATTTTGAAAATCCCCAGTTGTGGGTTTCTCTGCCAATGCAATAAACCAAATCCAGCCGAATTAATAAAACTAGGTTTAATAAACAGAGCAAAGCATCTCCCAGGTGACTCTCAGGGGCTGGCAAGAGAGAAATCACATGACAGGTCTAGGGGCCAGGTCTTAAATACCCTGTAGGTGTGGTCCCAAGATTCTCAGGGGGAGAAGCCTCTACCGCTGCTTGGCAGACTTTCTGGAGACAGGATCAGGAGAGAGAGAGGTGGGGCCGGGGCCGAGGTGGGTCTTCCACCTAAACATAGCTAGTGTTAATTTTTGTATCCGTGGCTCTCGGGAGGCCACAACATCCAAAACCCCTTTTGATAATCTACTTTGCTCCCATTGTGAGGAGGAGGGCGTGAGCAGTGAATGAGAGTGAGGTCTAAGGAGAAACGGGGAAGGCTTGTGTTTGCTGGAAGATTTTAGACCCCTGAAGCTCAGAGGTGTGATAGTTGGGGGTCTCCTGGGAAAGGTAGCTTTGGCCTCCTGTCTTGCTTTTCAGGGCTATTGAAGTCTGGAGGACGATGTGTTTATCTTGAGGCAAAATGTTCCTTTGCTTTGCAGCCCCAGGTGTATTTAGCTTTGCAAGGCTCCGCTGGACAGGGCTACCCCGCACTGCTTTTCCTATTGAAGTATGGCACCCGGGGGGGCAGGCAATTGCTTTTCAATCCAAATCTTCCATGACGAATCTAGGGCTTCTGACAGAGGTCCACAGGGAGATAGTTTCAAAGCTTTTCCTGTGCTTATCTGGCCAGCGCAGTGATACACATTTTGGAGACATATTGTCTCTCTGGAGCACCGGCCCCGTGGCTGAAGGTCCCCGCCTGGCTACTCAGAGCCATTGCCTTCATTTTGCAGCTGAGTCCAGGAAGGCAAAACCCTTTGCCTGAGGCTTTGTCCCAGAGGAAGTCAGCAGCCCAGCTGTGGGCTGCATGGTGTGCCCGGATTGTGAGCGTCCTTTCTTTTCTGGTGTCCCGAGAGCTCCCTGCAGAGCTGTTAGCTGCTGTTGGCCCTGGCTTATAGATGGTCTTACTGACATCGGCACAGGAGCCAGGCAGAAGCTGGGGCAATCAGCATGTTAGGTTCCTGTACTGAAGGGGTACTGCCCATGCTGGCTGTTCTGACCCCAGTACCTTTGGGATTCTTTCTTTCCTGACGGTAGCCTGCCCCCTCCGGCTGCGTTCTGTCCTACTAATGAGCTGCCCCCATGCCGGGCTCCCTGGACAGCGTGGTCCCCTCTGATCTCCCTCCCAGCTGTGTCCTTTCCAAACCATAAGCTGCCACCAAGCAAGCTAAAGAGAAGCTGGCGGGGCTGGAGAGATGGCTCAGCGGTTAAGAGCATTGCCTGCTCTTCCAAAGGTCCTGAGTTCAATTCCCGGCAACCACATGGTGGCTCACAACCATCTGTAATGGGGTCTGGTGCCCTCTTTCAGCTTGCAGGCATACAGACAGAATATTGTATACATAATAAATAAATAAAATAAATATTTAAAAAAAAAGAGAGAAGCTGGCGTCATGGAGGAATCACACGCAGTACTTTAGCAACCAGAGAGTTGCTACTGATCTCTGCAAACAAAGAAATGAGCAATAAAGACAAAAACAGACGCCATAGCTTCGCCTCTTCTGAGTCTCCATCCAGAATACTAGGGGTAGGACGATGAGAGGCCCTTCCCCAGTTGTCACAGAATAATGGCCGATACTGCTCTCATAGAAGACTTGACAAGGTGGGGAAGTGGCAAATTTACTTAATCAAAGTGTTATGAGACACGGGAGCCTTTAGAAATAGCCCAGTGGCTCAGGGGAAGCTCTGGGTTTTTTGTTTTGTTTTGCCAAGGTTTGAGGGAGAATGGGCAGTGTTATGGTCTGGACGAGAAATGTCCCTCTGAAAGTTCTTGTGTTAGGGCTTGACATCAGCTGGTGACAATGTATTGAGAAACTGAGGTAATTCCAGGAGGTGCAGCCTAACACTGGGTCACTGGGAGGAGGCGAGGGTGGCCGTTGAGGCTATGTTGTCTCTGGCCCCTTCTTGTCCTGCTTTTGACTTCCTGACTGTTGTACTTTGAATGTGAAATGTTCCCTATGGGCTCCTAGGTTTGAACATTTGATCCCCAGTAGGTGGCGCTGTTTGGGGAGGTTGGAACCTTTAGGTGGCTGACCCTTCATCTATTTACGCAGTGTGTGACAGGCACTTTGGTCACAGTGTTGAAAACCCGCAGTGCAGAACATTGAGACGTGAAATTGGTGGGTTACTGCTCTGAGTAACCTTGGTTCCACGGCTCAAAAAAACCCTGGAACTAGCTTGCTGGGTGAATTTGGAAGACTTTGGAGGTGTAAGCTGGAAAAACTCCAGGTTACTGAAAGCAGAGCCGAAAGGCCAACACTGGTTGACGTTCAGAAAACGAGGCCAGACTTTCGAGTCTCAGATGGGAATGAGGCGTCTGCTAGGAGATCATGTTGCCTTCAGGAAAACCATGTGTCTGAACCCAGAGGTTCACGGAATCCTCTCTCTCTCCAGTTAATGATAACAAGTGTCCTGGCCACAGCAGTGAAAGCTCCCTAGTGCAGGCAGATGCAGAGAACTAACTGCGCTTGCACCACTGGGTGGACTTAAGGAGAGCCGCTGAGCAGGGATGTAGCAATGCTGTCTGCTCAGAACTCCTTGACCACATCAGTAGCATTCCTTCCCCTGTGCGGGGCTAAGATACTGAAAACACACAC